TTCATACAACAATCATCAACCTTGATGAGGCCGCACATTCAAACACAAAACATTCAGACTCTTTCTATCAGCATTTTCGCACCGGGACACAGTTTTAAGTACATTGCCCTTTTCACATTTGGTAAAAAGTGCAGTATTAGTATTTGAGATATTGTGTCTATTTGATGAATCATTCAATTTTTAAACGTCACATTAGGGCTGCTCAATTAATCGTATTTTAATCGCAATTACGATTATGGCTTGCAACGATTACGAAAACAACGTAATCGAAATACAACGATTATTTTTTTATTATTACTTTTCTTTTTTAATAATTTTTTTTTGTATTGATTTTTCAGTTGAGTTATACTTAAAGTTCAGGTTTGCATTGATTTATTTAAAACAAGGGACAGTGTACATTAATCAACATATTAAAAACATGTAAAAGTACTCGAATTAGCCAAAAGGCTAGTTTTCATCGATAGTCCCTTTGCCAGATGGTGATAGACATCCTAAAAGCAATAATACAAATACCAAGACATTGTTATACCATTGTACACATTTACAATAGATGACATCACTGAATACAGATAAGAGCAAGTCATGATAATAAATAAATAAAACATTTACAATACACACTCATACACACACCCACACATCAGTGCTGACACTGTTGGTTTTCAATGAGCCACTTTTTTAACACTGTGCTTGAATGTGTAGTAGGATGAGGATTCTCTTATTGGTTGTGGTATTGAATTCCATTGATGCGATGCGTGGAATGAGAAGACAGCCTGGCTGAGGGTGATCAACTGTTCAAAACATACTGTTAAAAAAAAAAACTCCAATAAATTGATGCTTTCAAAGTAAATGGATAATCGTTTTTAATAATCGTGATATCAATTATTGACCCAAATAATCGAGATTATGATTTTTGCCATAATCGAGCAGCCCTACGTCACATTACAGTGAAAATATACATTTGACATCCAATAAGTGCTAAATTGAGAGCATTAATGTCTCAGATGTCACTTGAATTGTCATAATTCATTTTAAAGACCATTTCTGGTCCCTAACATTGACTAAAGCAGCTTAATGTGTTGTTGTTTATTTAGGTGGACACCAACAAAGACAGACTTGTGTCAATGATCGAGTTCATGGCTGCCACTCAGAAGGAGGAGTTCTTGGAAAAGGATGAGTGGGAGGTAAGAGCTTTATTTTATAGAACATGTTGATAGATGCTGATAGAAATGTGAGGTTTCTCTCGTACTTATGCAAAGTTGTAAAACGTGTGTGTGTGTGTGTGTGTGTGTGTGTGTGTGTGTGTGTGTGTGTGTGTCGATGTCGATGTGTCTGTCTGTGTCGATGTGTGTGTGTGTGTGTGTGTGTGTGTGTGTGTGTGTGTGTGTGTGTGTGTGTGTGTGTGTGTGTGTGTGTGTGTGTGTGTGTGTGTGTGTGTGTGTGTGTGTGTGTGCGTGTGTGTGCGTGTGTGTGTGTGTGTGTGTGTGTGTGTCTGTGTGTGTGTCGATGTGTTTGTCGATGTGTCTCTGTGTGTGTGTGTGTGTGTGTGTGTGTGTGTGTGTGTGTGTGTGTGTGTGTCTGTGTGTCGATGTGTCTGCGTCTGTGTCTGCGATTGTTTATTTGACAGAACATTTTGATAGATGCGGATAGAGATTGTCGTACAAATGCAAAGTTATAAAAGTTTTTTTGCAGATTGATAAGTTTTATCATCAAAACTTCATCCCAGTATTTAACCCTTCATCGTATAATCCCCTGCTCTCCACAGACTCTGGATCAGAACCCGCTCTACACAGAGGAGGAGATGAAAGAGTACGAACAGCATCTAGTCAACGAGCAGAACGACATCCACCAGAAGTCTGTGGAGCTGCAGAAACAGAGGGAGGAGCTGGAGAGGAAACAGGAAGAACTCAGTGCTCAGAAGATCGGCCTGCAGCAGGTGAGCTCCAATCAGTGACATCCAATCAGCAATCAGGATGTCTTCCCTCAGTAGTCTGCACACGTACAACAGGTGAAGCATGGAGTAACATCCACTCAACAACCCATAGTTCCAGTGCCTTTAAATCATTCACAATTGAGGATATGCATGATTTGCCTGCATTGGAAAGATTCGGTTTGTTTTAGACACAAACATGATTTTATCCTGTAGATTCTATAGACATACACCAACACTTATTGTTTAAAGTGCAGGTTAAGGCAAAGAATACCAAATGAATGCTATTTCAGTCAGACAACTCACGTGTTTCTTAATATGTTTATTAGAAGCAGCATATAGTTTGAGTTTGGCGTCTAGACTCGGGCCTCATCGCTCCACAGATTTACAAAGAACATTGAGTGATGATTAGATAACTATCCCCCGAGCCTACAGGTGGAAGCTGGGGTGGAGCTGGGGTGGAAGCTGGGGTGGTGATAGGGGGGTGGAAGCTGGGGTGGAAGCTGCGGTGGTGATAGGGGGGTGGAAGCTGGGGTGGAAGCTGCGGTGGTGATAGGGGGGTGGAAGCTGGGGTGGAAGCTGGGGTGGTGGTGGGGTGGAAGCTGGGGTGGTGGAAGCTGGGGGCGGTGGTGGGGTGGAAGCTGGGGTGGTGATCGGGGGGTGGAAGCTGGGGTGGAGCTGGGGTATAGCTGGGGCGGAAGCTGGGGTGGTGATAGGGGGGTGGAAGCTGGGGTGGAGCTGGGGTGGAGCTGGGGTGGTGATAGGGGGGTGGAAGCTGGGGTGGAAGCTGCGGTGGTGATCGGGGGGTGGAAGCTGGGGTGGAGCTGGGGCGGAAGCTGGGGTGGTGATAGGGGGGTGGAAGCTGGGGTGGAGCTGGGGTGGAAGCTGCGGTGGTGATAGGGGGGTGGAAGCTGGGGTGGAAGCTGGGGTGGTGGTGGGGTGGAAGTTGGGGTGGTGGTGGGGTGGAAGCTGGGGTGGTGGAAGCTGGGGGGGGTGGTGGGGTGGAAGCTGGGGTGGTGATAGGGGGGTGGAAGCTGGGGTGGTGTAAGCTGGGGGGGTGGTGGGGCAGGCGAGCAGCAGCAACATGAAACACAGCAGCAGGAACATGAATGCAGCAATAGCAAGTGAACACAGCAGTGGCAGCATAAGCGAGGCAAAGGCAGGAAGACCTGGCAGCTTCAATAGAGCGGCATGTTTAGGAGAATGTGTTTGGTTGGTTATCAGAGGGACGAGGCGCGTCACGTGTTCGAGGTGCTCGAGTTGACTGCCTGAACTAGCTCGCAGGCTTCGCCCCATTTCTTATCATAAATCAAGCGATATAAGGACGCTTCAAACTGTAACTCAATGTGTAGTTATTGTACTGATTGGTTCCTTTGCTAAAGTGAGCAAATCTTACCTATTTTGTGATTCTCTAACATTCTCTTTCTCGTTTTCTCTTCTCAGGCAGTAGAAGAAATGGAAAGGATAAAAGGTAATGTGAAACGTAAGTATCATAATGTAATGATTAGGGCCGATTGGCTATCTTGTTATTCTGTGATGCCACGACAGACACAGGAAATGAGGGTTGGCCTTTTGTGCGAAAGAAACTCTGCGTGATAACAAAACTGTCATCAGCTAAAATGAGAAAATAAGTTTCATCATTATCTCGCTGTTCATTAACGTGTGATTATGTGACTCTGTTGCAGATCCGGGCACTGTAGCTGCAGGTGGAGCTGCAGGTGTAGCTGCAGGTGTAGCTCCAGTTGTTCCAGGAAACTCCCGCCCTCTTCCCCCCGATGTTCCAGTGCCAGGACACTCTTAGCAGGCTCTGTGTGCTGCCAGTGAGCGTGTGTGTGTGCGTGAGTTTGTGTGTGTGTTCGCCTTGTTATTATTCCCCATTTTTGTTCAAATGTTCCTTTTTTCTTTTCTTTTTTTAACACCACTTGACGGAAATATGTCTAAATAATAAGCGCACATAAGAGAATCTGATTTCTAGGCTTCAGATTTGGTGCCACTGTCCACTCTGCCTGCTGTAGCTGCATACATCTGAAGTGTGGAGCTGGTCCAGTTTCCCCTGGGGACAATCCAGCCTCTTGTTTTTGTCATTTTAATCACAGCATGACTCTGTTCTCCATGGGAGGTGCTTTGGGCTGAAAGGGGGCGGGGGGCTTGAGCCGAAAGTGAATGTTTTGTTTTGTGCACACTGTAATTCATTGTCACTGATTCTGTCTCTTAGAGGAAATACTTGGGAAATGATTTATTTATCCCATAAAAGAGCTGATGGATGCATACAAAATGAATGTCAAAAACTTAACTTCAAAGTTTATGTAGCGCTGCTGCCTAAAGAGTTTATACTCTTTTTTTTCATTTTTGGAACCGTGAAATATCGTTCTTTCTTTAAATACTTTCCTTAATTTCCATATTTGTTTTCTGCTTCAAAATGTGATCATGGATATGAACTTTGGTTTAAACCGTAGGCTCTCAGTTAGTCGGATCACTGTTGATTTTCTTATTTACCTTTTATTTTTTTATATAAGCTGTAAGAGGACTCCAGACTGCTACAATTACCCACAATCCTCCTGTGAAAATCTTGCACACGAAGCTAAAAAAATCCTTCTTAAAGTTTTTATTTTTACCATACCATATATCCTACGAACCGGATGATTGAAGAAAGTGTCTTTAGTTTACAGATAAAGTTACATATATTTAAATCTTTTAATTGAAGATTATTTTTTGTTGGCGTTAAGAGTTGTATGGATTCTAAAGTGGCTGTCTGTTTACACTGTGAATCTTTCTCCTGATAGAATACATTTTTATTTATTTATTCTCTACACTTTCATTACAGGTTACATTTTGTCCTAATAGATGGGAAATATTAAAGCATACAGAGCTTGTTACAGGGTGAAAACTGTGTTTATTAAAGGTTAATACGACAAATCAGCGATAGAATAACAACTCAGAGTAATTATGATGAAGCAATTGAGTTATGTCTTTTACAGAAAGCTGTTAAATCTGTCCGACGCCATGTGTGAAGGATTCATGAAACTGTAGTACAAGGTTTGAATGTGGACAATAAAATGAATGAGGTTGCACGTTTTGAGTTTGTGTCTCTTTACTTCAATGAAAATACAATTATATCCAGAATGTAAAAACAGTGTGCTGATAAAACATGATAAAAGACTTCCTAGATTTATGTAGGACTTGAGTGATGTGCAGGGGTTTAGTTTTGTCCGTATGAGGCTTTGAAGCGCTCGGCGATGTATCCTCCTCCCGTCACTGGAGGGTATTTGTTGGATCCGTCGCAGCAGCAGATCAGCGCCTCGTCGTCCGGCTGCACGAAGAAAGCCAGAGACTGTCGGGTGCTGAGGTCTCCAGGGGGGGGCAGCAACACTCTGTGCAGCTGAGAGGGAGGAGACAACAATTATAGGTTTTATTATTTGATATACATTTTTTTACTTTATCACATTTTCAGTTTTTCCAGGTGTATCAATACAATCCTGAATAGGTTTCAAGTATTAGTCAACCAGTATCAGAGTACCACTCCAGGGCTAACAAAAAAAAATTGTAATAAAAAACAAATAATCGTAAATAAACAATAATAATGATGGAAAGAGAATACAAGGGACATACAAAGGTGTTAACAATTATTAGTGTATTAGTAGATGCATTACATCAGGGGGGTCAAACTCAAATACACAGCGGGCCAAAATAAAAAAATGGGTACTAGTGGAGGGCCGGACTGGTTCAATGTTTATTGCAAAACTTATTGAAATGAACTTATTGCACATATTAAACCTGGAACTAACAAAGCTTAAATTATTGCCTATAAAAACAACATTAAACATGAAATAATCAGTTGCATTAATTTCTTATGGCTCTAGCTGCAGCTTTTCCGGAGTCATTTCTTATGAGTACATTTTCCCACAGGCCAACAACAGCTTCAAAAAAACAATTTCCCTCAAAGAAAAACCCAAACATGCCCTGTTGTCCTGAGAGAAAGTGCAGAAGGAAACATCCATGTAAACTCAGTGTGCTGCTCTGTGATGCTAGTTCAGATACTTGGCATCTCATCTTGGGTGCAGGTTCATCAATGTTTGGGCTCAGGCTCTGAGCTGAGGAAACCCTCAGGATGGAGTGAAGGTGTGCGTGCAATATACCGGCGGGCCAGATCTAATAGTAATTAGAAATGATCCTGCGGGCCGAAATTAAATCCACCGAGGGCCTGATTTGGGCCCCGGGCCTTGAGTTTGACACATGTGCATTACAGGGACTCATCGCATGATAAATGTATTTTTCTATTTGCTCGTGGCATTGTTTTTAAAATAGTTGTACTTGAATAGGGATTTGGTAAAATACTAGAAAGATACAGCAGGTTTTCAGATTTGTAACAAAGCAAGTCGTCAAAGTCTGAACTGTTCAATTAAAAATAGTTATGGAGGTAGAAAGTAGAAATACTCAATTTAAGTCAAAAGTACCTTGAATGTGAATACTTATTTCCCACGGTTAAATGCAAATCAATTTTTATCTTTTATATAATGTCAATTTCTCCAAAAAAAAAAATCTTTTTGATATTCTTACTCTCACACTGTTTATATAAACCTACCATTACAATTACAGACTTATTCTGAAAAATAATACAAATCTGTCTCTCTACAAACTTTTTCATATCCAAAAACACATCGTTTTTTACAAATCGCCTGAAAATGGTACAAACAAGTGGCAACATGTGGGATGAAGGTGTTTATCTGGGCTATATCATGCAATCGTAAGTGAAACTTAAGCTCGCTCCATTGCGGAGATATTCCCGCGAGAGTGCGGAAAACTTAAATGTATTTATTTATTTCAAATGTGAAATGTTACCAATATACTCACGGACCACTAGGGGGCGCTCACGGACCACCAGTGGTCCGCAGACCACACTTTGAGAAGCACTGCTCTACACACATCAGTTTAAACCAGGGGTGCCCAACCAGTCGTTCGCGATCGAACAACAATATTCTGTTTTATTATGTCCTGTAACATAATGTTCCTGTGCCAGAATAATGCACATGAACGCATCCAAGCTTTGTGATTGGCCGGCGTGACCCCATGTGTCGGGGCGTGGCTGGTGGGCAGTGGGCACTAGTTCGCTGACGTTGTCCGTGTCAACAGGAGTGACAGTCCGCAAACACACAAGACTGAAATTATGGCAGAAGCAAAAAAAAAACAAAATATATAATTTTAACTCCGAGTGGGAGGATGATTTTTTTTTAATCTATTCCAATTCAAAGTCCATCTGTCTCATCTGCTATGCGAGCGTGGCTTTATCGAAAAGGGTAATTTAGGAGCGGCATTTCAAAACAGTGCACAAACGCTACGAGACGGAATTCCCTCCTAATTCTGCCCTACGTTCCAAAAAGGGGAGGGGCCTGAAAGCACAGCTAAATGCACAGCAGTCCATTTTCACCAGGCCCAACAACAAGAGCAAGGCTGCTACCATAGCATCTTATCGTGTCAGTCACGTTCTTGCGAAACACATGAAGTCTTTCAAAGATGGCGAAGTTGTGAAATAAGCATTCCTGGAGGCTGCTGACGCGCTTTTTGGGGACAGTAAAAATAAGAGAAGCATTTCAACAGGTTTTTGATATAACAAAAACTCAAGTTAGATACCATTATTAATCAGATGTAAGTTTTAGTTTGTTTGAACTTATTCATTATAATTATTGTACAAAATGGTATAAGAATGCACATTTAAATTGATTATAGTCTATTATCAATTCAGGTTAAGAAACTAGTGTTGCTTGCATCCTATTTTAAAGGCATTTATTTGTATAATCTACTCAAATGCAACAAGAAAAGGGTTTGATTCTATTAATTTTGTCTTTTTTATTGCACTGTTGCAGCAGATTCCTGTGTAGCTTCAGATCTGAGTTGTCTTATTAGTAAGCCGAATGTATACTTTTGTAGCAACACTATTTGTATATAATGGCAAAGAAAGGGTTCAGAGTCTTTTCTTTTTTCCCTGTGTCATATGTGGCAGCACTGTTCAATGTTTCTTGAAAACATTACCCACTGTAGTGACGTGTGAATAAACTCCAACTCTGTATCAACAACACTGTTGTGTAACTTCAGTTAAATACTTGTATGTGTGTAGATTAGAAAGAGGTAAGATAAAGGATTTGCAGTATTTTATGAAGTATTCATCGTACAAAGGTCAGTTTTATACAAGCAGAAGTGTGTATTTACCTGGTAGTAGGCTGTCAGTAATGGCTACGCCTCTCTATTTGGACTGGTAGATCTCGGCAGACTGGCAACTTTAAAAGTAGCTCTCGGTTCAAAAAAGGTTGGGCACCCCTGGTTTAAACGTTACTGATGACAGCTGCATCGGATAACAGTAAAGAAGGAAATAATCTCTTCTCAAAGTAACTGAAAATCAGTCTGGGATCAAATACTTATTTCCTCCACTGTATATTTGAGTTGAGTAACTGAGTCCATTATGTCTCCTGGTGTCCTATTTCTTATTATTATATAGTTGTAAAACAAATCCAAATCTTTTTTCCTCCCCATTATGATATACAATATATTTTCTCCAAAGAGTTCCTCCTAACTCACCACAGAGACAAAGTGATCTCCGGTCCAGCGCTGCATCAGGTCGGCGATGTTCACCAGCACGGCTCCGGGGACGGCAGGAGCGCAGAGGAATTCTCCTGACCGCTGACGCACCTGAAGGTTAACAAGAGTGAGCTGGATTACATGCCTTCTTTTAAAGAGGACATATTATGTTCATTTTCATATGTGTATTTTGTCCATGCTTTAAAGTGCACCTATCATGCTATTTGTAGGTAATAGCATAGGTCTCAGATATATAAAAATATATAAAAAACATGTCTATGAAGTGTTTTGCTCAAAATACCAAACAGATCACCCATTCTAGCCATGCCTCATATCCCTCTATTTCACTTCCTGTTTCAAAAGTGATGCAAACGCAGTGATGAAACGCCATATCATGGATTATCAAGGATTCTCTCTGAAACAGTATGGAGCTCAAAGGCTTTCTCTCTTGCCGGTTATACCACAAGGTGAGTTCCTTTTTACTTCCTGCTTCTTCACACAGTATGCTCTCCAGTACAGGTTAGCTCTGAGTGTTAGCGATGCTAATATAAACACCGACCATATTACGTCCAAAACAGTCGGGCATTGTTTCTGATAGCAACTTTCTGATAGTGTCGTGGGTCCACATTTCCCATATTATGTCATATCGGCGCTAGCCAATAGAAGCATGAGTGTTACAAAGTGATGTCACTATGTTAAGGAACTAAACAAAGGCATCCAACGGAGGCGTTTCAGGCACTTCTAATATAAACCTATACAACACACTACAGGAGAGGGAAAACCCCAAAGAGCATAAAAGGGCCTCTTTAATAGAAACTAATGTAAATCTCAATTTAAGAGACAAAGAGGCAATTGTAATTTGTCATTTCTCTTGCATGCAGACAGGTGGAGCCGGTGTTACCTGCAGACCCACAGAGCTTTTGAACAGCAGGGTGATGGAGCCGTAGTCTGAATGTTCTCCACACCTCAACTGACCCTCCTTCACCTCCTCATGCTTCACTGGAGGGTAGTACAGAGTCCGCAGAGTGGAGCAATTCCCTTCCTCTGGAGGAGAAACAACAACAGTGTTAAAACCTGCCTGGTGCAGTCGTATCACAACAGTTAACATCTGGCCTTACACTCAGAGCTCTAATGTCAAGGTTTTATATTTCCCAGTGTCACACATCAATACACAGGTCGTTGGTAGTTATCGCATACAGAAAAAATAAGATTTTTCCATCTTTATTTGCATTGTAGTTTGGTTTTCCAACTCTGCAAGTCTATATGATGTTACATAAATACATCCTTGTGCATCTCATGACAGTCAAAGTCAACTTTATTGTCAATCTTTCAGTTTGTGTGTACAGACAGAGATCGAAATACCGTTTCCCACAATCCCGAATACAACAGTATTTCGATCTCTCTGTCTGTACAGTGACAACTCTGTTAACACTTTGTTTATTTGCATGGAGTCTTCTGAGCATGCAACTCCCCAAAACGCCCAATATATAGGAGCCATTTATCTGATCGATAACCATCGACTTCTTCAGCTTGAACCCCAGTAACAATATAACAGTCTTTAGTGAGAGCAGTGAGCGTACACACCTCCTATGAATCGATGCGCACTGAGGAACACCTCGGGGTCCAGACCCAGACTGAAAGCCATCACCTTCAGCACCCGCAGACTCAGCTCTTTGCAGCGCTGGAAGAAAGACGTCTGGATCTCCCTGAAGCCTTTCGCAGCTTCTGATGGCCATTTCTGCAGCAGGAGAGAGTTCAATTAGAGCCGGACTGATGCTAGATTTCAGAGGCCAACACCCCTACTGATATTTGTAAGTTAGAAAATCTATTTAGTGCAGTTCTGATAGAGAAATAAATATGAGTTGAGCAGGCCACTTAAGAAAGAAGCTACATATTTACAGGATTGTTTATCTCCTTGTAGATTGTAAAGGTCCTGAATGGGTGAAAATGTACTCAATTCTGCTCTCTTCTGAACATGAAACTGTGTCTACATTATTTCAAACATATGGCATTTTTGTTCCTGTTTCCCTTCTGAAGATTCTGATATAAAGTTTTCTTGATAACTGAATATTGGGTTATATTATTGGAAGATATTTATTTTTATCTGGCAGCAATAAAACAAACCTTTTTCTTGTTAATCAAACATGTATAAAAGCACACGTATACTTTGACCTCCAGACGAATAGATCACAAAGTGGGATCTTATCTGGGTTAGTGATCATAAAAATGGTCCTGATGTAATCTTTGAAAAATATTAATATTTGACAGTGAGTCGTTACAATGTCAGGCTGAAGTGAAGTAATGTTGAATGATTCCTTTAGGTCTCCAGGGCGGCTTGGATTCAACCTGAAAAACAGGTTTTTTTAATGTAAAACAATCAAACTGTGCAGTTAAGAAAGTGTGTTGGTTAATTTCCTGATTCCTACCTCTCAATCCCAAAGGACACCCAGCCGTGGTTAGGACTTCCAGCAAAGCTGTTCCTGCTGAAGGGTTGTTTCTCCTCATCTGGCTGCAGGAAGAACGTCTTGGATATGGCCATAACACGATCCACCTATCCAAACACACCCGCAGAAAATACATATCCCTCTTTTTGTACAAATGCATTTCCATTTTAGGGAATGCAATATGCAGATATTGTACTTTTCACAGTTTATGTTACTTTGCAAATAAAAATGTCCAGTGAAAACCACTTCTCTCCAAATATGGTCATTTTGATCTGAAGTGTTTTTATAAACTCGATGCAGGATGATGATCCTTTAAACTAAATTAATTCCCCCCAAAATAAGCCATTTAAAAACCTAATTAGATCACTTGGAATATGCATTATCCCAAAGTTAATTAATATAATATGATGGATTGCTGTAGACTTCATTATCCAATAGTAGGCGCCGCCCATGTCAAGTATTTGAATAAGCACAACATTAATCATCTGCAGCAGTGAAATGCAACAAACACATTAATGCAGCGGTGAAATTGTGATTTCTCCATTAATCCAGAACAATTTATATAACAGTAAAACACTAACAGGGAAAACATTTTCTCATTGACTAGTTTGACTTTTGAAACTTTGAGTACTGTAAACTAAAGCAGTGTTCGTAGAAGTTGGAAGTGGAAGATAAAGTAAATGTTGTTCAAGTTTCAAAAGCAAAAGTATTCCTAATGCAGAAAGGATATTTTTTGCAGTATTATATTAAGGTTATTATTTGTATCCTGTGTTTATACATGTAAGAGCATTTGAGTACTGTAGTTGGTGAACTTGGACCACATTTAGATTCTAGAAATACTGTGTAGATTAGTATTACAGTGCTGCATGTGTTTTTATACAGATTTGGCTGTGAAATGTAGCAGAATAGAAGTAGCATTAAATGAAAAGTTAAGTAGAAACATGCCAAAAAAGTACTTAAGTATAGGCTATAACACTTGAGTAAATGTACTTAGTTACTTGCCTCCACTGTACTTATATAAGGTTTTGTATGCAGGACTTGTGGCAGGACTTCCTCGAATACATTTCCAACACAGCAACTAAACAAACATAAGTTGTTGTTCCTCTCACCTCCTCCTGAGTGATCCCAGTGTTCTTCAAGAAGACAAACCCCACTTCAATGAAAGCTGTTTCCAGATCTTTGCTCAAACTGATCATCTGCTCCTCACTAACATCCTTCTCTCTCAGGCTGCACGCGCCGAAGTCCACCACAGGAATGCTCATCTTAAAAACAACGTGTATCTAAAAGGATATAGTATTTGCAGCCAGGTCAGGATAAAACAACACAGCGACTAATGCACCCGTTTCAAAAAGTTCCTGCAGTGGCTGCCATCTCGCTGTCATGTGACCTTTTCCAGCCAATAGAAAACGAGTTCTTAATCACATGAAATTAGTTTGTTATCTTCACTGTCTTGTCACCTTTGGAAGCTGTTTGCAGGCCCAAATTTATCTCCATTATTTTACTTTTCAACAGGTTGAGATTTATACTAGTTTGGTGGGTTTGCAGCCAACAGCTCTTGTTGCACCTGAGAACTTAGATGTTGGATCTGAAGGAAGACTGGAGCATCTCTTTTGCAGAATGCGGTTTTATGGGGAATTATTATGTTGGAGCCAGCTGCTGTCTGCTGGAACATTACCCTCGGTTCATATTGGACTCCTCTCAGATATATGGAGCCTCTGCAGGGGCTCTGATGGCGGCTGTTCTCGCTATCGGATCCCACATAGGTGAGCAGGGCCCCGTCAGTCTCCACAGACCAAAGCCCACTCAACAAAGTATCATTTTAACGTTACTTTGGTAATTAGCAAACCTCCTGGGTTAAATTAAACACATTTGAAGATGCAATTTACATCATTACATGTCGTTATAACATTTGGCATAAATACAATGCACAAAAAAGCATTATACATTTACAGATCCCACATTTCCTCCATTGCTATTCCTCTTTGTGTGATTTAAACACACACTCTTCTTAGCTTCCTACCTTGGGTTTCCAGGTGATTTCTCTGTCTATTCCAGGAAACATTATGTCAGATTTTATAATAACACATCACTGTTTTAACCACAGTGGGTGATTCTCTTCATGGACACAACAGAGCTGCTGGTCTGTGTATTTGATGCTGTTTGGATACCTACAAAGTGCATCTTATTAGGACAGAGCAGTAAACGTATATCATTATAATATTGTATGTCTTGATAATATAGAACAGTGTCTTTGTTCATGTAAATGCCTTGAGGAATTTGTCAGTAAAAAGCATTGTTGATAATAGAAAGAAGTACCTGCCAAAGTAAGTGTTTTTCCCTTCTTTACTTGGTTAGGTCTTGATAAAATACATCTAAATCTGTAAGTAACCATTGTATCTGGGTCATTCTACAGAAAAGGTGGAATCTGGGTGATACAAATCTGCTGAAATATATTCCTTCTAAAAACATCTAACACCTGTTAAATAGCAATAACTAACTCTTAACTTGATGAATCCACAACAAGTAGAGCTTAAAGTATTTTTATTATTTTTATACAAAGCTTATTGTATAGGAATGTCACTGGTGTTACGTGTTAGGAAGAAGAGTAACACCAGTGACAATTTGGAGAAAACACTACCATTTTAACAAAATGACTGCAATGTGTCAGACCATGTGGCTTCAGTCAATATCAAAATCGTTTAACTCTTCAATACAATACATTTTCCCATTCAAATGTTCACCCCTAGGCAGGGGCGGACTGGGACTACAAATCAGCCCGGGACTCTCGACCGGCCCGCTTCGGTACCGCCGGCCCACCGCGGTACCGCAAGTAAATAGCCTACCGCTAGGGGGGGGGGGGGGGGTGCTAGTGATTTACCGCAGAGGTAGACATTAAGGGTAAAATGCCACTGGCCCTCTGGGCCGTGGACTTGTATTATCACTGGCCCCACCATTGTAACCACAGAAAAAATCGACTAATAATGAAGAAAATTAACACATTTGTTGCAATAGTAATTCATGCCTGGAAATAAGGTCTGTGGAAAACAAACCTGTTTGATAAATGCACGTTTTGTTCAGCCGGATAATCTCCACATGTCTACCCTATTTTTATAATTTTCTAATCATAAATCTAATCGATAGATTATAAAAGGGTTTTAGGATGCGTCACTGCACCACTAGAAACCAACTCCATCGATCAAGCTGAAACTTTCTCTCCCTCTTCTTCTCATAGTCCCTGTCACTTTCCTTTAACTCCTCCGGTGACTTTCTTTTATTTGAAGATTGTTTTTTGCCCGACGCTTGGCCGGTTACCGCTGGTATTAAAAACATTTTGGCGAATGGTTAGGTGGCGCGATAGTCTGTAGTGAAGGAGCGCGCTCACAGGGGCCTGCTCGCGCTGCGCTCCGCAGCAAACAGCTGTTTGCTTTTCACCCAACAACGACAACCGACTCACGGAACGCTATGTTGTAGCGTTGATAAACGAAACAATTTAACTAAATTGCTAGTCAAAATACCAATACCACAGGACCATTTTTTTAAAGCAATATTTTTAGTGGCCCGAGTGGGCAAGTGGAAAGTAGCCTATACGTTATGCTGGCCCGGGGTGTCTTAATAGTGCTTCCGGGCCAGTGGGCCATTTAATGTCGAGCCCTGCCGGTTACCGGCCGGCCCACATCGTCCGACCGGCCCACTTCAATACCGGCCCATCGGGATTCGTCCCGAACGTCCCGATGGCCAGTCCGCCCCTGCCCCTAGGGCTATGCAATGAGTAACACTAATGACAGACTTGAAAGACGCATGTCAAATTTGAAGATAAAATGACACCTTTAACAAACAAAGTAAGAAGTATCTGACTTTCCTTATGTCTTTGTCCACTGCTCTGCCTCAAACGATCTCTTGTTACAGGAGGCACTTCAGAGACAGTACATTACTTCAAAATAAAAGCGTTTTGTGTAGCAGTAACACCAATGACGTAATTTTGGGTGACTGACAATTATTTGATATTATTAATAATAATTTGCGTTTTTTTTACCATTTCAGTGTTATATTTAATGTATGTAATGTTATGTAAATATAAATTAGATTTATTTATTAAAACTATAGGCTCCACTTCCATGTATGATCAAAGTGACAAGGCAGTTCCTTGAACTTGGCATTTTAAATAAATTGCAATTTACGTATAAAACCATTTTTTATTTATTTTTTATTTAGTACCATTGCAAAGACAATCTCTATTTATTCAACATATATAACGAATGTGAGTATTAGGTCAACGTCATGTATTTTGGTGTCTGCAAAAGTAAGTGACAGCACTTCCACCTTTTCTGTAGAATGACCCATCTAATAAAACCATATGCACTTTTTAAGTCTGTGAGCTTCTAAACAAATTCCTCCAAGAGCACCATTGTGTTCTTTGTAACCAAATCTCTCTCAGAGGGGCGTGGGGAGGGGCTCCTTATTTTCATCTAAAGTAACAGACAGAGAATCAGCACTTTTGAAACAGGGCTGAAACAGAGGGGATTATGGGTAATGCTGCAATGATCTATTTGGTGTTTGGAGCCAAACACTTGAGACATGTTTAGTATATATCTGAGACTTATAATATATTGATGAAAAACAGTATAATAGGGGACCTTTTAAAGCTTAATCTACCCTACAGTACCTACCTCTGTTTTAGCTGGATGGGTAAATGGGCCCCATGACAACTTTACAAGGTCATAATATGTCACAAATGTATTAAAAAACAAAAAATATCTAATAGGACACAGATCATGTTGGAAGTGAAAACATCACAGGGTTATACATGTTTTATAGATTTCATATTATGGTGCACCACTTTGTGTTCATCATTTGTCTCAAAGGCTCAGCCTGTGAAAAGCATTTTCAAAGGAGCGCGATTCACAAATAATGATAATCTGTTGATGAACTCGTGAAAACAGTTAGTTGCTTTACCAAACCTGTATCTGTGTTTCTCTCTGTGTGACATGTGAAACAAGTAAGAAGCAGTAAGGCGTAGGAATCCCTCAGAGTGAGAATCTCCCCCTTCCTCTTTTTCTTTCATAACAAGGCCTGTACTCCCCCTGTGTTTCCCTCCTGTTTTGTACAGTTCATTCCTTGTTATGAAGAGAGTTGTGGAAGCGGTGTCACATGTTAAGTAGCTGGCCTATTTACGCTCTTGGTATTGTGAAATCTGAGCAGAGTAGGTTGGGCAACACTGACGCAGGGCAGATAAAGCACTAGTAGTGGAGAAAAGATCATGTTTACATCTCAGTGAGTGTTGAAGGGAGTCCAAATACACCTGCTGAACTCTGACAGAGGAAACATGATGAATGAATTGATGGGACCCTCAGAGAAGATGTTTGATTGGGACGAGGAGTGGAACATCTCCTTTGCAGGCTGTGGCTTCAGGAGTGTTTATTACCTGGGCGCTCTGAGCTGTTTCCTGCAGAACGTCCCGCGCCTCGTCCACGGAGCCTCCAGGATCTGTGGAGCCTCGTCCGGCTGCCTGGTGGCTGCAGCTCTGACTGTGGGGATCCCCATCGGTGAGTTCCCTGCACCATGCACACTTAAAATCACATGTGGGTTCATGTATCCACATATTTGATGTGTAAAGGTAGATCGTACAGTTGAGTGTTTTGTAAAAGCTTTTAACATCAGAATCAGAATTCAGTTTATTGCCAAATTGGGGTTAACATACCAGAAACTTGCTTTGCTGTATGATAATTGACACATCAACACAGTAAGAACATGTTTTTTTAAATAAAGAAATGTAAAAACTGCAATCAAAATGATTAAAAAGTAAAAAATGTGTACAAGAAGTATGGTAAAAATAATTCAAATGTATGTTATATCTGAATGAACAGTGCAGGTTTCTTTGTTTTTAAGTATTGCTCAGAAATGTGGGAAATAGTCACAGTCTCACAATGATCAACTAATGCTTTGAGTTCACAGTTTATTTCCTATTACGCTACTCTATTTTGTAATAAAATGTGTTTTTTCCTCTTTTTATATATCTAAATCTTACTTTATTATTGTATATGCATATCCATATATGTATTGTATTTATCTGTAAAGTCCATTGACACTGACACTGTTCTGAATGTTTGTAGGACTCCTATTTGCTTTTACATTTCACCTTATACGTCATATATAGAGTTATTTGTTATCCCTCTATTGACATTGTGGTAATATGGATCGAGTAAATAGATAATGATCATATTGAAGAACAAATAAAAGCTGTATGTTTTAAATCACATGTGTCAAACTCAAGGCCCGGGGGCCAAATCAGGCCCGTGGTGGATTTAATTTCGGCCCGCAGGATAATTTCTAATTACTATTAGATCTGGCCCGCCGGTATATTGCACGCACACCTTCACTCCATCCTGAGGGTCTCCTCAGCTCAGAGCCTGAGCCCAAACATTGATGACCTTGCACCCAAGATGAGATGCCAAGTATCTGAACTAGCATCACAGAGCAGCACACTGACTTTAATGGATGTTTCCTTCTGCACTTTCTCTCACGACAACAGGGCATGTTTGGTTTTCTCTTTGAGGGAAATAGTTTTTTTGAAGCTGTTGTTGGCCTGTGGGAAAATGTAATCATAAGAAATGACTCTGCAGATAGAGCCATAAGAAATGAATGCAACTGATTATTTAATGTTGTTTTTATAGGCAATCATTTAAGCTTTGTTAGTTCTAGGTTTAATATGTGCAATAAGTTCATTTCAATAAGTTTTGCAATAAACATTGAACCAGTCCGGCCCTCCACTAGTACCCATTTTTTTATTTTGGCCCAATGTGTATTTGAGTTTGACACCCCTGTTTTAAATAAACCCTAATTAAAGTAATATGACATGTTTGTTTTGTTATACACTATGTAGGACCTGTTTACCTCACTGGCCTGAACCCAGCCATAGTTCAGATGTTATCTGAGGAGTTCTCTGTTATTGAACCTGGCAGTGAACTCTGAGCCTGTCGCTTCTCGCTCACACGCTGAGTTCATGCCACAGTGAAAGCAAACTCCAGAGGTTACAGGGAGTTTGAAGCAGAGGCCAAGCGGGACGACACCTGTCACTCACTCACTCACAAACACACAGGCGATAAATAACAAAAACGCAATAACAAAACAAATCATTATAGTTCCATGTAACAACCTTAAATGGAAGTAGACATATTGAGTTGTTGGCAATGGAAATGTTTATTCCCAGGCTCAATAAAAGATCATTAAAATGCATGAACAAGTTAACAATCTAATTGTAAAGTAAAAACAAAAAGAAATAACATTGAGATAAGAAACAAAAGATTAAAAAAAAACTACATTACCCAGAATGCATTTATACAAGAGGTTAACTTTTCTTTATTCATTAAGGAACATCTCAAAAGAATCACACACAAAATAATGAAAACAATATATAAATAGTACATTCGATTGAAGTTTAACATTATTACTTTAAATGTTGTAATATATTTGATGATTTATTGCCCTTATTTTACTAACTTCTTCTGTTTAGTTATATATAAATATTACAATCTAAATGAAGCAACTATCACAAAGCCCAATTTCCCCCAGGATAAATAAACGGATCTAATTCTGATTGATTCTGATATAGCTTTTACCCTTAATAATTCAGACTCTAAATGCACCTGTTAATTAATCTCCATCTCCAAAGACTGATTTCCCTACATGTTCCTCCTCAGAGCAGTTCTGCGCTGACGTCCTGTCCGTGGCGAGGGAAGCCAGGAGACACACGCTGGGAGTTTTCCACCCGAGCTTCAGCCTGCTGCGGACCGTGAGAGCCTCTCTGCTGGAGAAGCTCCCGGCTGACGCTCACCTGAAGGCGTCAGGGAGGCTCTGCGTCTCGCTCACCAGACTGACTGATGGGAGGAACGTCCTGGTGTCAGAGTTCAACAGCAGAGAGGAACTCATTCAGGTACCATGGAGAGCAAGGTTAGAAAGATATGGATGCATCTGAACGTGACGGATCAATAAATCAAAAACAAAACATTGCTAAAACACAAACGATGTATATTCTACCTGCTTCACTGTGATTAGAGTAGGACGCTATTATTGTGTAAAGACATTTTGGTAGCATACTGTTTGGCAGGGACGTTTTTGAATATTTTTGAAGTATCTTGTATCTCTGCGGTCTTGTCTCTTGTTTTGACTAAATAAGGTTGAAGCTCAATCGTTGTCGACCTTACTGCTGCTTAGAGACGTCTTTTTTTTTAGCAACATTTTGTTTATAAGTTGTTGATCTGTCAAGTTTGAATCTGTCAATATCTTGCTAACGTTACCGAAGTGATTCGAAAACTAAGAGACGGACATAAGATAAAATAAGATAATACTTCATTGTCAAATCAAGTCTGAAATTGTTCTTGCATCTGCAGATCCACTTGCAAAAAAATATTTAAGATAACAAACAAGGGAACAGATATGAACCATGACATTCAAATCAGACAATATTTTCAAGACTCTTCAACAAACACTTGATTTGGGATTTAGCATTTTATTCTAGGAATGGCTGTTGCACTAAAGAGGGTTTCAGTCGAATCATATCAAATTGTGGGCTTTTAAGCTAAAACATAATATCTTCTGGACATCATTGGTGTCTGTTATAGTGTAAAGGTTTTCAGAGTTGATCTGATTTCACAGCATCTGTTCTGGAAGTATCTCAGTAAACGCCAGGAGCTGAGAGTCTGATTTTCTTTCCTAAATTGTACCTTTACAGGTTCTGATGTGCAGCTGCTTCTTCCCTGTTTACTGTGGCTTCACCCCCCCTTCATACCGTGGAGTGGTGAGTACGGCATGTACAACTAAAGTTCATGTAAGAGGATTAGAGGGAAAATGTTATTCAATATGGTTTAGCTGTGTACGGTTTTACTTTCAATCCTGTAGGTGCTTTAAGAAAAAATCTGATTAGCGTTTTCTGGAACACAGAATAACTTAAATTATTAATAAAACTATTTTTTGTTTTCTTGACAAAAAGTCTCACACAACATTACATACACAAATACAATTTGTATACAACACATTCACCCCAAACTATGCAACTAAAAACAACCAACATACAGTGGATCAGTCGATTATATTTTCTTTACAATAGGAACATAAACCAGCATGCATTACATTCAGAATATTTTGAGTTATGGATACAGCCCAAACTAGATTGGTGCTTTCTTGCTGTTATTTTTCTCTCAACTGAAACTTATTACATTACATTAGGGCTGCTCAACTAATCGTATTTTAATCGCGATTACGATTATGGCTTGCAACGATTACGAAAACAACGTAATCGAACTAAAACGATTTTTTTTAAATTATTATTATTATTTATTTTTTTCAGTTGAATTATACTTAAAGTTCAGGGTAATCAACTGTTAAAAACATACTGTTCAAAAAAAAATTCTCCAATAAATGGATGTTTTCAAAGTCAATGAATAATCGCATTTAATAATCGCAATTACAATTATTGACCCAAATAATCGAGATTATGATTTTTGCCATAATCGAGCAGCCCTACATTACATGTCATTTTGTTAGACGCTTTTATCCAAAGCAACTTACATACTCAATACTGTGGACAATCCCCACAGGAACACTTATGCTATATCTTTGAACTTTGCACGGAGCATTTTGGGTAATGTAGAAAATCAGCAATTACACAGGCAGAAGGGAAAGCACAACAAAAAGTGAATGATATGCTTATACTTTATGTCACGATAATTCGTTGAATGCACTAAACAAATATGTCATTACTAAATAACACAACACATGAATGTTATGTAAAGACATACAGTCCATGCCATAAATACTTGCATCCAGCAGAGTTCATTCAGTCATTTCTTCCCTCAGTACTACATGGACGGCGCCCTGAGCAACAACATGCCTCTGTTCGAGCGGAGGAACACCATCACTGTGGCTCCGTTCTCCGGAGAGAGCGACGTCTGCCCCAGAGACGGCAGCTTCAACTTCATCGAGGTACACTACGGCAACGTGAGCATCCACGTGAACTCTGGGAACGTGCACCGCATCTGGACCTCCTTCCTGCCCCCCAGCATGGAGGTGGGTGCTTTGTTTGTGTAACTGACATTTTTAACAGCAGAGAAAATTCTCTATTTCTTTCTGTCATACCAAGAAAAGTAATGTAATCTACGGTGGCCCTGAAGGTCAAAACACTACAAGATTTCCAAAAACACTGTATTTGTATGGTGTTTTTAAATGTGAGTGTGTGTGTTTAAAAGTGTCCATGAAAATGTTGTGTTTTGTGAAATGTTGAAATGTGGAATTGTTATTGTTTTTTTTAAATGTTGTAGTGTGTGTTTCGAGTTTTGTGAAATGTTTTTGTTATTTTCTAAATGCCATTGCACCCTTCAGAGCCACCGTAGTCTTCATTTAGAAAGATAAATGATTCTCTGATATAAAATAAGCTCTTCATGATATTTTTTGGTTCTTCACAGGATCTTGCTGAAATCTGCCACAGCGGCTACATGGATGCTCTTCAATTCCTGAGAGAGAGAGGTGAGCTGCTCCACCTTCCAGAAAGAAATGTCCCTGTGAGGGATTCATAAAGTATGTTTTCTTCATCCTCCTTATACCCGAGTCTCTGAATCAAAACATTTAAACACAAACTCAAATGAGCTGTTATTAGTTTCGTGTGTGTTACAGATCTGCTGGGAACACAGAGTCTTTGTCCCGGATTGATTGTGGAAACGGACTCAGTGAACCCTGCTTGTTGTGAGCTTGTGAAAAAAAGAGGGTCAGAGGAGTTACGGCTGAACGGACTAAACTCTGATGAGGAAGAGGATCTGTGTCTGGGCCTGAAAGTAGAGAAGCTCCCTGCTGGCATCAAGAAAGGTGAGGAAGAGTAGAGAGAAGGAACTGTCAAAGTTGGTCAAAGAAAGGGTTAAGTTGGCATCAATAACAGGAAGATGGTACAATAAGGTTGTGTTGGTTTGTTTAGGAAAGGATGCAAAAAAGTTAATAGTAAACAATAATTACCATCACATGCACCTGTGATTCCCATAAGGGGATTACAAAGCTGGAGGTTTCAAATGGTAAATTCAATGTTAAAGTGGACCTATCATGCTATATTGGAAACATATAGTGTAGGGCCATAACTATACAAAACATGTCTGTGAAGTTTTTTGCTTAAAATACCAAACAGATCCCCCATTGTAGCCATGCCTCATACTGCTCATACCCCTCTTTTGCAGCCCTGTTAGAGAAATGTGGATTTTGGGTCCTTAGCTTGAAAAAAAAAAAAGAGGAGGCGGAGCTAATGCCTGATCAGAATTCTACCGGAGATAAAGTTAAATTCTGCTGTGACAAAACACCATCCTGTTCTAAACCACATCAAGGATTATTTCTGAAACAGTATGGAGCTCAAATGCTTTTTCTCTTGCAGGTTTATCACAAGGTGAGTTCCTTTTTTTATTTCCTGCTTTTTAAACACACGTGCTCTCCAGTACAGGTTAGCTCTGAGTGTTAGCGAGGCTGGCTAATGTAAACAAAGACGAGATTACGTCCAAAACACGTCAGGCATTGTTTCTGATGGCAACTTTCTGTGGGTCCGCCACCGATATTACGTCATATCGGCAGCAAATCTGTATCCGCTCGTTGTTCCCCCGTTTTAAAAAGATTTGGGTACGGAGGAAAAGAGAAAGGGTTTTATTTTCTGACACTGCGGGAGTTCCCCGACGCACCGGGGACACATATTTATGTATAAAAGACATCAAAAAGAAGTGCATTTTGCATGATAGGTCCCCTTTAATGTAGATCTTGCTTGAAAATTAAATAACTTTACCAAATAAAAGATACAAAAAAATAGTAGATTACACCCAGAAAAAAGTGATGCGCAGAAAAGTTAAGATTTTACATTTGCACCTTACGTTAATTTACTTCTTCTGAGGAATGCATCTACAATAATTAATAATATACTGACTCTATTTGTTGTGTGTGTTAGTTCTGTGTGAGGCGGTCAGGGACAGTCGTGGTGGGGACTCTCGAGGGTCTCAGCTCACAGAGTTTCTCCCAGTGAAAATGGTTGTATACCTGCTGTCTCTCCTCATGCTGCCCTTTGAGATGGCCTTCTCTCTCAGCAAAAGGTAACGTCGCTTTATCCCACACTCCAACTTACAGTCACTAAATATCTGTCTCTGCAGTGAGAAATGTTATTGTGGGAATAACAATTAGTAGTTATTAGTTTTAGTTACTTATTTAGTTATACTCGTGGTATCCAAGAACTTGGAGTTTCAGGCTCTGCACTTTCCCTCATCACCTCATACCTCAAAGACCGCACCTACAGGGTTACTTGGAGAGGGTCTGAGTCCGACCCTTGTCAATTAACTACAGGGGTCCCTCAGGGCTCTGTTCTCGGTCCCCTCCTCTTCTCCTTGTACACAAACTCGCTCGGATCAGTCATTAGCCCGCATGGTTTTTCATACCACTGCTACGCTGACGACACCCAATTAATTCTGTCCTTTCCCCGCTCAGAGACCCAGGTCGTCGCACGCATCTCTGCTTGTCTTGCTGACATCTCTCAGTGGATGTCTGCTCACCACCTCAAGCTCAACCTTGACAAGACTGAACTGCTTTTCCTTCCGGGAAAAGATTGTCCCACTCTTGACCTAACAATCAACATCGGCACCTCTGTTGTTTCCCCGACTCAGACTGCAAGGAATCTGGGTGTGACCCTAGATAACAACCTGTCCTTCACTGCAAACATCGCTGCTACAACCCGTTGCTGCAGATACACGCTTTACAACATCAGGAGGATACGTCCCCAGCTGACTCAGAAAGCAACGCAGGTTCTGGTCCAGGCTCTCGTCATCTCACGCCTAGACTACTGCAACTCCCTCCTGGCTGGTCTACCTGCATGTGCCATCCGACCTCTGCAGCTCACCCAGAATGCAGCGGCTCGTCTGGTCTTCAACCTTCCTAAATGTTCCCACACCACGCCGCTCCTCCGCTCCCTTCACTGGCTTCCGATAACTGCTAGAATCCACTTCAAGACAATGGTACTTGCGTACCATGCTGCGAATGGATCTGGCCCTTCCTAAATCCAGGACATGGTTAAACCGTACACCCCAGCACGTGCACTCCGCTCTGCATCAACCAAACGGCTCGCTGCACCCTCGCTGCGAAGGGGACCCAAGTTCCCATCAGCAGAAACACGTGGGTTTGCTATCCTGGCTCCTAAATGGTGGAATGAGCTCCCCATTGACATCAGGACAGCAGAAAGCTTACACACCTTCTGGCGCAGACTGAAAACTCATCTCTTTCGACTCCACTTCGAGCGTTAGAACTATTAACAAAGCACTTATATACTAATAAAGGACTGGCTTATCTAAAGCCAGTTGAGTAGCACTTGAAATGTTTTTGCTCTATGAAACCTGATGTACTTATATGATTCTGTTTTCTTCAAGTTTGTATTTTGTTGGTCGAACGCACTTATTGTAAGTCGCTTTGGATAAAAGCGTCAGCTAAATGTAATGTAATGTATTTTGGTCTTTTTTGTGACAGCTTGATATCATCACTGTTGACCTCGACTGGAGATCTGTTCAGGAACGCGTGGAGCAGTGGAGGCGAGGACATAAACAGGTGTGTTCTCATTTTAAAGTGTATTAGACGTTCTGCGAAAGGTTTCATGTCTCACCTGTCTTCAAGTAGACTTGGCTTCTGTATAACCTGGCTTGGCCAATATTTTAAACATCATTAAAAATCCCTTATTCATTAAAGTATAAATTAGATATTGTAAGGTAGTTATTCTATATGTCTTTGCCAAACAAATAGCACAGATAGTTATTGTAAGTCCTCTCATTTTTGTTTCTGTTTTCTCCTCTTTCTATCCTCCAGTGCATTTCCAGAGCGTTACGCCTTTAACTCAGACCTCAGGAGCAGAACAGGAGAAAACAATAAACCCTTTAGCTCAACAGACTACAAACTCCGACAAAGCTCTTCATTGGGACACCAACGGAAACCTGGAAGTCTCCCCCCTCCCCTCCCCCTGCTCGGGTCCCCCCAGCCTCCCCTCGTTTAGCACACCTGCATATAGTAAAGTGTCTTTAAACCACAGAAGGTAGCGGACACTTCCTCAGCCATTAACCACGCACAAAAAGACATTTCAATCAGGAGAGACGGTTTTGAGTGATGCATATTTATTGCACAGATGAACAAATGAATGTAATGGTAATTTTGGCGATTTAGGCCCCGTTGTGCAGGAAGTATCATTCGGGAGGGTAGAACCGATCCGATTAAACCCCCCAAAACGAAATAGTATTAAGAAATGAAATGTACAGGTTCCTTACCATGTGGGCTGGATGCAGAGATCTATGGGAAATGATGAGTTATACAGAGGGAGACACATGAATGTATAAAACGCTGAGGTGCATAAAATGCACATAGGGGTTTACAGGGAAAGGAGACTCGACGTGCATGATATGGGATGCACCGGGGTTTTTAACGGGGAAGGAGACTCGACGTGCATGACATGGGATGCACCGGGGTTTTTAACAGAGAAGGAGGAGACTCGACGTGCATGACATGGGATGCACCGGGGTTTTTAACGGGAAAGGAGACTCGACGTGCATGACATGGGATGCACCGGGGTTTTTAACAGAGAAGGAGGAGACTCGACGTGCATGACATGGGATGCACCGGGGTTTTTAACGGGGAAGGAGACTCGACGTGCATGACATGGGATGCACCGGGGTTTTTAACGGGAAAGGAGACTCGACGTGCATGACATGGGATGCACCAGGGTTTTTAACAGAGAAGGAGGAGACTCGACGTGCATGACATGGGATGCACTGGGGTTTTTAACGGGGAAGGAGACTCGACGTACATGACATGGGATGCACCGGGGTTTTTAACGGGAAAGGAGACTCGACGTGCATGACATGGGATGCACCGGGGTTTTTAACAGGGAAGGAGATGATGACATGAATAGGATTGAAATGCACATGATTATGAGCATGGGTAACGAGACATGAAATGTCACGCATGTTTATGAACAGACAGTGATATTAAAACACCGCCACCAGTTATATGCATACAGTTGCAAGAAAAAGTATGTGAACCCTTTGGATTCTCCACACATAGCGTTGTGTGTTCCTTCCAAACAACTCAACTTTGGTTTCATCTGTCCACAGAATATTTTGCCAGTAGTGCTGTGGAACATCCAGGTGCTCTTTTGCAAACTTCAAACGTGCAGCAATGTTTTTTCTGGACAGCAGTGGCTTCCTCCGTGGTGTCCTCCCATGAACTCCATTCTTGTTCAGTGTTTTAGGTATCGTAGATTCGTCAACAGAGATGTTAGCATGTGCCAGAGATTTCTTTAAAGGTACAGATCACCTCAAAATCAAGAATACATGTTTTTCTTCGAACCTGTAAATTACCTTTGTTAATCTAGATGGTGTGGTGTGAGTTGTCGGCTGTAGCGATTGAATATATTGGAACTAGTTGGTGCTTAAAGTGTAAAAAAAAGTGCATTTGAAAAGAGTGTGTAATTCATCACAATGTTGAGTGCTGCCGAAGGACTGTTCCAATGTCCAGGATGCTTGGAATTCTACCGAGGCTGGCGTCCTTCGTTGCGGGAAATTTCTAGGCTGCACGGCGGTCTTAAAATCCCCACAATGCTTTGCGCACGGACCAATTTCCTAATCTTTGGCGGAAATCTCGCTCCATTTAAGGCGGGGCCTCGGATATGACGCACACCTGCACACCCGTTAGCCTGTTCCACAATTCTTCGTTTTCCGAGGCTAGGAAGGATTCTTGCATCGCTTCTGAAGGACCTGACTCGGAGGTACATGTGCTACCAAGGAAGCGTCCTCGACATTGAGAAACACCCCATGTCTTAATTGAACTGCTCCCATCAAAGTCTGTAGATAATCTTGAGTCACCATTTGACCAACTTGATTTTAGAGTTAACTGTCCCTTTAACACAAATGTTCATAATGATCAATAAGCACACTTTTTTCTTCAATGACCAGCCATTTGAGCATCTAGGATTATCGGCTCAATTAAGTCGTTTCACTGCCAAAGCAATATTAATGCCCTGGTTAAAAAAAAAAATGGTTATGGTGGCCATCACAGAAATGTTTTCATAGTACTGTACAATGTGAGTTTAACAGGATGTAAACTTCTGCAATAATTCATTGTAATTCATCTAGTATGCTCAGTGGTCAAATGTTAAAACCGTGTTACTGTCAAGACCTGTTTCAGAATCTAATGGCGTTTTTCCACAGCAGGGCCTCGCTCGGCTTAGTACGGTATGGCTAGGCCTCGTTAGCCCTTGGTAGGCCAGGCTCACTTTATGCTGCGTTTCAATAGAGGCGAATGCTAATGTAGCGTTAGCATGTCTCCCCGTCCCCGGGGGCATCCGGGCTTAAACTGTGTATTATAGAATGATCACACCGGTGTGACAGTACTCTTCAAAGGGTTCACGAAATATGACTACTACTCTTATTGTTTAACATTTTGGGTTACTTAATGTTACTTCATGTTAAGCCTAATAAAAATGACAAGGCTAAGGCTGTAATGCTAACTAACATGCTCACTTACGCGACTCTGGGATTTGTAGTCTTTCTAGTTGCATATTTTTCATAGTCTTACGACAAACTGACTTTTTTGACATGGAAATTATTTTTTAAGATTGACAAACATCATATGTGTAATTCATGGCACAATTCAAACGGGATCGAGAGATAATCTCTCTCTCCATTGACTTCAATACATAATTTTCCGAAATAAGGTCCCATGGGTCGGAAGTAGATGGGCGGGACTTCAACGCAGTAACTATAGTAACGCAGTGTAGGCGGAGCCGTGACGTCATCTTCAATGCGAAACACAAAACCAACATCTGCCGTTAGCCCTCATAGCTCACAGCCAGGGGCGCCATAAGGGGGTGAAAAGTTAGGACGATTCTAAGGTCCCGTGACTGACAGCGGCCCAAACTATTTTAGAACATTAAGAAAAAAATGTTTAAGTAACCAATGTGATATCTTTTCATGGGGCCCAAAATCCCTGGTGGCGCCCCTGCTCACAGCTCTTCATATCTGTTCAGAGACTAAAGTTAAACAAGTACAAACCACAGACTGTCTGTGTCATGGCGAATACAGTCGCTGGTTTGTTTATGTCTGTAGGCCGTTGTTGTGAGTGTGGACTGTCGGAGCATATACAACGTTAGCTTAGCCGATCTCCATTCAGAAAACATATTTTAAAAGGTGTTTCGCCTGCCGTCTGTCTGCCGACTTGTCGAAGCATTAATTCATGGTTTTCACTAACCGGTATCAGTATGTTGTTACTTCGACATCATTTTGAAACGTGTATTACAATTAAATCACGGTCAAATATGTTCATCTTGTTGTAGTTGTAGCACTCACGTCACTAGTTTAGCATACTCAACCCGGTTGTTGGCCCGGAAAGAACCTCGATTTTGGAGAGCCAGAAAAACTGTGAAAAAGTACCCGCTAGCCGGAACTACGCCTAGTGGAAACGCAACCACAAACGGGCACGGCACGCTTAAACCGCGCTGTAGTGGAAACGCGCCATAACACAACTTTGTTGAATGTCAGACAAATATAGTGTCTTTAATTGTTTGTTTTGTACGTCCAAGACATAAGATGTTCAATTAATTGATATAAAACAGAGAGAAATCTCCTTATTTTAGAGGCGAGAAACAGCATTGGAAAACTCATTGTCAAAACAGTTATTTTTTCTGTTGCTCAACTAATGATTTGAGTTATTTTTGCAGCTGAAATGACTGGAAAAAGTGATCCAATAATATAGAAAAAGCCTCATCAAGACGTTTAATGGACAAATGTTTCATAAAATTCCATGTGAATGACATTTTCATAAACATACAAAACAATCCTATAACTCCTAAAAGCAAAACAATTTGGTGGTCAAAGATTAAAATATAACTAACATTATATTGAAAGGCTTGCCAGGAATCCCCTTCTGTTGAAAACATGTGTTTTCTTTGAGTGATGCACCGTGGTCAGTTCATAGCACCATGAATTGAAACATTAATGCTAGCTAAATCCTCATTAAGGATCATAAATGCTCACACTGATAAATCAAGCTTTTAAAATAACATGGTTGTTAATCTGCTGTCAAAACAGTAGACGTGAAGGTTCCTCTTACTGCATCACAGTGCAGTATGGTACAGTACGAAGGCAAAACAAACGCTTAATAACACGACCTTCTCCGAGGACAGTCATGCATCATTGTCAAGTCCCTGATTTCACATATTTAAAAAGACTGCCGTGAAGATGATCAAAACAGGAATACAAGATCACAAACAAAATAAAAAGTGCAGAAAGGAGATTCTGCAAGATCTCTAAAAAAAAAAAGTCCATCTAAGTGTGTATACTCCACTCGGACACTAATGAAAGGAAAAACTGGAGAAATCAGTCTTTTCATTGTACGGCGGCGTCCTTTGGTCCCCCGCTGATGTCTGGGATCTGATCTGCGAAGGACTGAGTCATCCACTGTCCGTCAGGCAGCTGGCCCTCTGGGATCTGTGACGTGGTCGCCTCCTGTGCTCCTTCTGGACACACACACACACACACACACACACACACACACACACACACACACACACACACACACACACACACACACACACACACACACACACACACCACACACACACACACACACACACACACACACACACACACACACACACACACACACACACACACACACACACACACACACACACACACACACACACACACACACACACACACACACACACACACACACACACACACACACACACACACACACACACACACACACACACACACACACACACACACACACACACACACACACACACACACACACACACACACACACACACACACTCTGAGCTGAGGAATATCTGACACAACTGATATTCCGAGCAGCTCTCCTTTAGAATTGTCAGATCCGAAGCGATTTCCGTTGACTCCTTTAAAAGCAAACTCAAAACGTATCTGTCTTCCTTGTAAACTCATTTCCATCACCTAGTTTCCATCTACATTACCATCACTTCAGTCACATGCTTTTATCACATGGCAATACTTATGTTGAGGTATAATGTTTTTATAACTTTGATGCTATGACGCTTGTATTTTGTCTTTGCACAGCCCTTTGAGGCATTTCTTGTGATTTGCGGCTATAATACATTTGGATTTGATTTGATTATATATCACGCTTATCCTGGTAGATCACGTCTATATCTAAGAGCACTTGTCAAACTGGCAAGGATACAGTATCATCTTCAGTATTCTGAAACACTCCAGTAAGGCAAATGTTTCCCAACATGAAAAGTTGTGTTTTTTTCATTTGAAATAAATAAAATGCTATAAATAATGATGCTTAAGTGCATCAAAGAAACCAGGTTTCAAGTAACATTATCTAGATTACTCAAGAGAAAGAAATCCGTACCGTTTTTGAGAACATTGAAATGTATACACATATATTCAGGAATCCTGAAGTCAGGTGTAAAACCTTTTAATACCTTTTAAGACCCTTTCCATACATTTTAAGACCTCATCGCCACTTCGAGTTCTAACCGGTTACCTTGGCGATACACTTCACCTCACATTGACTATATGCAGTATTGATTGTCCTTCCTCCTTATCTTCCAACCATTTGGACGCAGACTTGCATTTCCCCATAACGATGTTGTTTAACAACCGGCGTAAACGGACCTTTGCGCGCTATCAAGCAGTGAGCGTGCGATGTCCTGTTCAGATGACGTCAAACCCAACGGGATGCCATCAATAAACTACACAGAATCACACTACACACCTACGCAATGATTACATTCAGGCAGACTGTAGAACACAACCTCTTTGGACAATTTATATACTTATTGAAAACAAGCTACAAAATGTAATACCTTGGGAAATGCCGTTTAATACTTTTTAATAGCCTTCATTTTCGCTAAATTGATTGATCAACTTGTAATACTTTTTAAGACCCCGTGGACCCCCTGATACATTACAATCAGTACAGACCATTGAATCATTTGTATGCATATATTTTGCGTTCCACTTCTAAATGACAATCATTACTTATAAATTGTCGAAACGCAATTTTTTGATCAGACCATGTTGAAATGTGAAATATGAGGTAAAGAGATGTGGATTCTGTTAAAAGGTCTAGCTTCTGGTTTCATGTTCCTTTAATTCCCTACCCGAGAATCCTAAATATACAATTAACTGTTTCAAAAACAGCCGCGCATATACTCAAACATCTTTAGGAATATTTACCTTAAAAGATGGCTGAAGTGTGCGTACACACAACATCATGCTGCACACTTCAATGGACATTTCATTTCAACAACTACAATTTATGTAATATAAGTGGAGTATAGTGTGTGTGTGTGTGTGTGTGTGTGTGTGTGTGTGTGTGTGTGTGTGTGTGTGTGTGTGTGTGTGTTACCTGTGTTTTCTGCAGTGGAGAATGTGCAGTGACCGTTGGTCGGG